AAAAAAACTTATAAATAAATATCTGCGAATCAATATACATTTACATCCTTTAGCGAACAATGTATAACGTTGTCTCTTCTCGTTGAATCTTGCAAATATCTATTCGCAGATCTTTATTATTAATTTTAATTTCTCATTAATTATCAGTAAATCGCAAAGTTAGAGATACAGAACTTTTAAAAGATGTAATTATATATATAGATACATAATAATATAGCATAATTATCCTGTATATAATATGTTCATAATATGTTATACATATATATGTATAAGTGTACTATATACTATATATTTTTATGGAAAAATTTTATTAGAAAAAATATCGTTAACGCCGTTCGACAAAACGGTGGTCGAGTTATGGAAATATTTGAGATATTTTACAATTCGATGAGCTTGAATCGCAACGGTGATTTCACCGTATTTACAATTTGACTCTCGTGTTCAAGTGATCCATAATGCCATTCAATCCGGAAATTTCGTATGACCTATATATGAAACAAGTATACTTTTATATATTATGTTCTTTCCAATTTACGATATACGACAAAATTAATTTGAAGAGTATAATACAGGTAATATTCTCGCGATTGTTCCGCATGAGAATTATCTCGAAAATTAATAAAAATAATTTAAAAATAATTCCACAGCTCACGATTCCTATTGACAAAATGATTATTAAATTTTATACAAAAAATTGTGTTAACAAATTATAACGTTTAGTTAATTATTAGAATAAATATTATATTTAAAATTTATATTTCAAAATATAAGGAGATATCACAGAAAGGAAAAGAAAGAGAGAGAAAGAAATAAAAAATAAAAAAAATCAAGAAAATGGAAATAATTACATCTGTTTACACACACACACACACACACACACACACACACACACACAAACAGATGTAATTATTTCTACTTTAAATTACTACACACGTGTGTAACATAAAATAGGATATAAAGAATTATACTTTGGAATTCTTAATTTGTCGACGTAACGACTAAACGGAGTTGGAAAGATTTGTTTAGTTTTTTGAGAATTCATAATCATTAAGATGCTATTTGAGTTAGAAATTATTAAAAAAATAAAAGTTTACAAACTTTCAAGAGAAATATCTCGAGCTCCATCTCAGCGAATCTTTGTCCAATACAAGCGCGAACACCATAACCGAAAGGCATGTATGCATGAGAATGCGTACTCCTATATGATAAAAATTCGGGACTATCTCGTATCCATCTTTCGGGAATGTACTCCGTAGGACGTGCAAAATACTTAGGATCCATTGAAAGTACTGCGTGACAAGCCATCACATTTGCCTGATAATATGAAGAAAGAAATCATGAAGAATGTAATCTTATTTCATTATTTCATAACGTATAAAATTTCATTTATAATGTTTTGTGAAATAGAGAATTATAAAATGAAATTTAAAATGAGAAACTATTTGATTATTGAGCGAATTATAAGCTTCAAAAGATTAATAGATAACTTATATTTCCAACAAAGAACAAATTCAATATCACATAATTAACTATAGAAAAAAACTTTCAGAGTATTGTTAATGTATTCAATAGTCAATTGCTTGACACAATATTTATGTTTGCAAACAATATTTTATGTTTGCTTACTGAAGCATCTAAATCTTATTTTTCATTTAATTTAAAGGAAAATTTTTAATAGAAATTTGATGGAACGAATATTTAAAGTTTAGATATCAATAATAAGAATAGATAATATCGAATTAAATTTGACAACAAAAATTGGCTTAAAATTTTGTAAAAAAAATTAAAATTCTCTAAAGTTATTTATCATATTACAATGATATTGTTAAACTTTTTAACCAAATCTTTTTTCAATGCGCATTTTAATTTTTTTAATACCCCTTCAAAAATATTTTAATATTAGGATTAATAAAATATTAGACACGTCTTAAGTTAGGTAATTTAAAAAAATGCTAGAAAAAACGACGTACTCCTTTTGGTATCAAGTATCCTCCTAAAGACACATCTTTCGGCATATTTCTTAGAACGCCATTGGTGATGGGAAACAACCGCATAGATTCTTTAATACATCCCCTAACATATGGTATCTTTTCCAAAAGATTATGTGTAATGGGTGTTGTTTTATCAGGTAACACAGACATTACTTCTTCTCGCAATTTGTCCTGTTTCTCCTTATTATTTGCAATATAGTATAGCAAAGCGCCAGCCGCATTGCTTGTCTATAAAAATGTTATTTATCCTTAATTATATTTTATTAATTCTATCATTGTTGTTACAGGTTTCTTAATTCTGTATTATATCTATTGCAAATTTATAAGCAAACAGATCATGCATTATATTTCGTTTGTGTGTGTGTGTGTGTGTGTGTGTGTGTGTGTGTGTGTGTACACACACATATTGCTTAGAACAATTGTTGAAAAATTTGTGATTATTATATGTCATATTATTATTTGCTGGAATATTATTATGTATTGAAAGATCAATTTTATTAAAAAATATGATTACACAATAATGCTGTTAAGATCGTTTCTACATAATTCACAAATCAAAATTGGATTAAAATCTTAAATTTACCGTATCAGTGCTCATCAGTATATCCAAAGCCATTACAAGAGCTACTTGCTTATCGATGCACAAAAGTTTTTCCAATATACTATAGTCTCTATTCGTGTCATCTCCAGACTTCGAAATATTGTTCTTAGCGTATTCGATATATTTCGCGGAAATTCTAAAAGAAATAATAATATTAATTATATTATAAATATAAATAAATGATAAATGGAACAATATTAATTATGACAAGTTGTATAATGAAGTTTTGAAATTAATTTTCGATATATATATATACATATGTATATAAGTTATGTGCAAGTAAAATATAAAAACAGAAGTAAAAGATAGTAAAAATAAAATATTAGTTTACATTCTAATAATAAAAAAGTAGAACATAGGCCTTTTTTTAATTCACAGTTATTCATTATACGAAAATATTGAAGAATAAAGATATGTATAAAGATAAAAATGATTAAGAGTAATAAGTTCGCAAGATTTTTGCAAATATAATACAATCTCTAATATAGTGTAACTAATATAAATTTCGATACTTACTCATTAATTTGATCTAATGCTCGGAATAACTTTTGATAATTCCGTGTATGATTTATTTTTAATAGAGATGGCAAATTTTCTATACGATACGTAAGATCGAACATTTCCTTTACACAATTAATTATTATTTGTGGTTCCGAGTCCACGGCAAGATTAGATTTTAAGCACCCCATTCGGTAATTCAATGCGATTAAACACATTGCTGTAAAATATATATATAGAAAATAAGTTATCAATTATAATGTCGTGAATTTAATATATAAAAGAATTTGTATTATTTTTTCAGTGTTTCGCTTTTAAAGAGAATTATTAAAACATTGACGGCATAAATATCTCGCATTCATATACACATACTCACCTTCTACACTCCACTTGTGTAATTCATTCATAAAGTTATCTGGCAATTCCAACGTTTTAGGATCTCGCAGTGTCGACATTTTATCCACAAACTCGTTAGTTATATCGTGAACTTGTGTGACGTGCGTTTTCACTACACTTGGCCGCATCATATGCGGACCAACTTTCGATCGAAAATCCCTCCACGATTCTCCCTGACTAAAAGAAGTCATTTTTATTAACAGAAAAAAAATTATATATAACTTACAGACTGACATTAGGTAATTTACTAGAAGATATTAGCAGAAGAAAGAGATAAAGAAAGAAGTATTTAAGAATAGAGATTTTGTTCAGTATGGATGAGTTAAAAATGCATGTATAGAAGCATATATAGAAATTTGATTACTCATATCAATGTACTACTGACCTTGTCACGAGACCATATTGTCCCTTGTAAATGTTTGTTCTGCTTTTGCGATAATTGTGCAAGGGCTCCATGGCGATTCGTATTGGAATTTTGCCTTGCAACTGATACATATTTTTACATAATTCTGGACAGAATAGGAAGATACTTGGTTGTTTCTTTAGAC